AAGAACGGGGTGTGCGTGAATGCGAAGGTGGAGGAGTGGAATCGCCTGAGAAGAAAACAATTTGACAAGGCAAAAACAAAAAAGAAAGAGCGCCTCTCCTCTGAGCTCTCCTCAGCTCCATCAGCACCATGTCACACCTACGAGCAGAGAGCCTGAGTTGGCAGACAGGCACAAAGCACACAGATGGAAGACACTCGCCCTTAGGAGCCATTTCAAGCTACCTCTGAGAAGGGGTGTAGTGTTCCTGGGCTTTGGGATGGTAACTACCACACTGGGAAAAGGTAAAATGCTTTAGGAGTTTCTGCATCCATGAAATCATCTCAAAGATCCCTGAGAACCGCCCAGCCAGTGTGGCTCACTGGATTGAGCATCGTACCATGGACTGAGAGGTCCCGGTTCGATTCCTGGTCAGGGCACATGCCTGGGTTGTGGGCTCAATCTCCAATGGGGGCATGCAGGAGGCAGCTGATAGATGTCACTCACAAAGATGTTTCTATCTCTCTCTAAACAAATCAATAAAACATATTAAAAAAAAATGTCCCTGAGAATAAATCACTCTGCATCCCTTAATTCTATGACATATGATATTTTATACTTAAGCCAAAGGTGAAACCACAAACCCCTACTCCAATCCATGCAAGAGCAGTACACCTGAGTGTACTTAACCTTGGATAGACTGGGCTGCCTTCCATATTAATTCCCCCGAAGACGACTTCTTGCTCCATCACCGTCTAGGGCTCCTGCTGAAGGTGCTAAGTCCAGCATGATCAGGGCAGCGCCAGGGGTGATGTGGTTTAGGTTAGAGCAAGTGTGCGTCTGGCTACTTGAACAGAGGCGGCCAAAACTGGTGAATTGAACTAAAACTGATGGGCCTCCATGTGTTCCTGGGTAAACACACATTCAGACAGAATGACCGGTCTCCTGCTTCTGCGTTCTGGCAAGCTAATCATGAACGGAGCAGCACTGAAACGAGCAAACGCTATCTCTCTACAGAAACCTTTCTCTTCTAAGGAAGAAATGTTCATGCTAAAAATATCTCTATATATTTGAGGGGGGGGGTATTCTTCAAAACATTATTACCCTGCTATGAGAAAGAAAATGCAATGATAAATAAAGTGCATTATACTCATCATTTCCAAATGTAGGCCACTTCTCTTTGGGGAGAAGACACACCTTTAAAACACCAATTGTTTCTAGAGTTCACACATATTTGTGTCCTCTAAGTCTGTTGCAAGCAGACTAAAAACTCTTTAAAATTTATTTAAATGGACAGCATGCATTTGTAAAAGTGTAGGTAGTGAATCTCAGTATAAGATTTTTATTCAAACACACTGTGAAAACAAGATTTGCAACAGATAAGCACAATATAATTTCCTGGAACTCTCTTGCCTTCACTTGTGTGAAGAACTCATAAAGAGATATGTAAGTCCAGTGAAGCTTTAATGTCCCCCTATTTAATCTTCTGTTAAGCAGAATTCCAAAAGAAAAAAAAAATCACAAAAGTATGTAGCACAAGTGCACTTGAATCCACCAAACACGTTACAGACTGTAACAAATTAAAATGTATTACATATTTTATTATGCACAGTAGTGTCAAGAGCATCAACCAATTGATTATCCATTAAACTACAAGTTTCCCTCTTAGATAAGAGCTTTGGGTAAACTGCAGGATGGAGCTATTTAGCATCACAAATATACTTCGCAGAACCTACTCAAGTATTGCTGTCATTTTGGCACTTCTACAGAAAGAACTATCACGCTGATGGGTTTTGGTTTAAAAGGGAGGCTGTTTACGAGAGATTGTAAATATTGATTTTACTAAGAGATTCAGAACATTTTATAAGCTTGTGTAGGTTATATAATACCAACTTTCCCGTGTACATCACTGAGTTAGATTTCAGTGGGGATCTAAACATCCAGGCTTTTCCAGGCAAGTCCTGGAAGATCCTGGGCAATCATAATTCAGAGGTTCTTACTTCTTTCTTCGAGAGCTCATGTTTTTGAGAATTTGAAGGAAAAATCACAGCAAAAGAGACCAGAGTTCTAACATAATTTATATTTCTATGGAACTGTCTGCCCACTAATCGAGAGAGCAGGCTTCCTTTCAAACCAAGCATCCAATGAATGTAATCTGACAATCTACTAAGGGCTTGGATGCTCATAAAAGCAGAAAGACAACCCTTGTCCTCAAAAGGACCTGAGAAGAAACAAAGGAGGAGAATGAATAAGCATATGAGGTATGCTAACATTTATGTAGGCATATTATAATAGGCAATACATACACCAGAGAAAGTTTACCATTTTCTTATGAACAGTATGTTAGGCTCAGCCTGACATATACACTGAGTTCTCCGCATGCACAGGTCTAACGATATGTGCCTCTGTTGCTGATTAATTCGGTTACATGTTTTAAAGCTCTTATGGGTGAATGGATGATAGAGTATTAATATGGTTCCCCAAGTAGGAAAATAAATCTGAGCCTAAAAACCAATTGGAAAGAAGACAAATATCCTAAAGCCAGTAGTAAAATTGAACTTTACAAAAGAGCCTCAAGTGGGTGCCCCTCTAACTACACCATTATTTCCAGCTTAGAAAAACAAACAGTGGTTTCTCCTGAAGAAGCACCATAAATAATAGAAGCTTGGAAATATTTCCTAACTAATGAAAATTCCTGACAACTCCATATATTTTCAAATGAATTAAGAAAATGTGGATAACTCCAAAAGAATTCTATATATAACATAACACACACACAGGAGGTTCTACCATACATAAGAGCAAATACATAACAATGTCACCACAGAGAGATTTCCACAAATATACTTACAGGTATATATGCACTTGCTGTATAAAAGAAATGGCTGAGGAGGGCTTCTTTGAAATTTAGGATTTTTCACATTGGTCTCTTCCCTTGCATTCCCAGACTTACAAGTGAGAGAGAGTGTGTATTACTTATCGCTGTGGTCAATTAACTTATGTTAAAACATAAAGTATGGACTGGGGTGGAGTTTTTTGATTCAACTTTAATCAAGCCGAATACATGCTAGATATCCGAAAGCTCTTTATAGTAGAACACAGGCCACACCAGATTCAACTGCTGATCATTAGATAGATGTCAGGGTTCATTTCTGAGCATCACAACAAACATCTGCCTTTGGAAAAGCTCTAACGACTTTCGGAAATGTCAAGGAAACAGCCCTGCAGACAGGCCCACCTGAACTTCATTTTAATTTAAGGACTTTATCTAAATGACTGTTGAGCTTGGGGTTAGTTTTTAGTTTGTACTACTACTTAAGGTTACAAGTTTTATTATATCGATGAATTGCTTAAAACACGTTTCTTTTAAGTCACAACAGGCTTACAAGAACATTTATTATATTTATACTTTCAAAGCTGATAGACATATTTCTACATATTTGCTGTTGTATACTTAAACTGATGTCTTAAAGTCGATGCTCAAATAAAGTCTTGTTATTCCTTTGATAATTTCCTAGTTCATAACATATATTAAATATAATATTTAATGCCAGTGTTATAAAGACAATTTTCATTGATGCCTTTGAGGATGATATAAGAATTATGATACATTATTTATAACTACAAATTCTTAGTGGTTTTTCCATTTTAAATGCCTAGAAAATCTGAGGGATGGTCAAATAGTCTTCCCACAGAGTATTTACTTAAAGGTCTTCCTTCTCACCATAACCTTGTATTATTCCTTTCTTTGTGTTAAAGAAAGGCTTATCTCCTCAGATTATCTCTGCTCTATCTTCCTCCTATTTTCATTAATCAAATTCCTTCATTTATCTCCCCTTCACCAAACTACTGCACATGTACAGCTTTTTTGCAAACTTAGTATTGATTTTATGACCCTTTGCCTTGTTTTCCCTAATAGGTTTACATTTGCTTTAAGAGAAAACACTGGGTCATTATTTTACCACATAACCTTAACATGCAAGGCACATCGCACTCTGTCCTGTGATAGGACTTAGTACTCGTGTTGGAATGACACATTTTCATGTTTGATGAGTTATGTGCCGTTTGTCAAAACTTAGACAAAAAAGTAGCTAGAGATATTGGTCTTAATTGACAAATGATATCTAAATCCAAGTAGTACTAGACAAGCTATTCAAATTAATTAAAAATAGATGCATGTGTTTCCCCTCCATTAAACAACCGCACAGAAAATCTAATCAAAATGGGGTCAAGATGACAGAAATTAATATACCAGAATTAGTAATACAAGCCTGTGTAGCTCCCTATTAAAGCAGTTCTGGAGTGTAAAGGTCTACAGACCACATAAGACACACTGCGCCTCTTGAAGAACAAAGGACTTTTAACTATCATCATCTTGTTCTGCACCTATTCAACTAAATTAAAAAATATGTATCAGACCTAATCTGATAATCAGTATGCAATTGTGGGAGAAAATTTGGTTCTCTATTATAATGCCTGACTAAATCTTAGACTCTGTTACAGGGGTAAAGCCAACTTGACTTTTTGGGAAACAGGAAGGGAAGGCGCTCAAAAGAGACATGAAGAGCTGAAAACACCGGTGAGGCTGAGGACAAAGGGAAGAATCGCAACGAAGAGTGAGGTGAGGAAAAATCGAACACCATTCTCGAGTATATGATGAGACCGTGATTACATTTATGACCATAAATTAATTGACATTCTCCCAACATTTGTACATATGTGTGTGTGTGTATACACATCATTTTTATAATATCACAAATAATCAAATTATACTTCAAGATTATTTAAAATCAATTGAGTCTAATTTTTGTAAACATTAGTGCTAATAATACCAACATTACCTAGGAACGGCCAAGGCTACTGTTACTAATTGTATCATGTTAATTTCTGCCCGCTGAACCCCTCTTCCGAACTTATGATAACTTTGATGAGCTGCTTGTAACAAGATAATGGCTTCAATTTCAATAGGAAATAATAAAGAGCATCCTCTTTTAGCTTTGTGTTTGAGGCTTCATGCACTTTACCTGATTCTTGAGATCCAGTTTAGGACATGGGCGACCTCCATTGTAAGGTTTTTCTTTTAGCCATTTGGATCGAATTCTCACCCCAATCCCACAGGAGGAACTGCAAGACCCCCAGCTGGACCAATCGCTTAGCTTGCAATCAAATGGGCAGGGGATGACACAGTCTTCTTGAATATAACCTGGAATGAACACAGTGAACAGGAAGGAGAAAAGTCTGATCAAAATGTGTCGATCAAATTCACTTTCTGTTCCATTATCACAGCCCAGACTGCTCAACAATACTGCCACGAAACTTCGATAGTTTTCTACTCAAATAAACAGACAAAAGTTCTCCTGGGTAAATGCCTGTGGGTACATCTGCAATCCAATCTGTGCCATCGTGTACTTCACAGACAATTCTGGGACGGAAGGAGCAGGAAACGTGCACACAGTCCCACTTTCTGATAAGAAGTAATGAGGCAGTTCAGGGCTAACGGTATCACCTCCCCTCAGTGGGCTGTGTGTCCCACTAGTTCTATAATTCCATCTGGAGACAGGTAACATAATAGGGTCAATCTTTCTTAGTGTCTGTGATCTGCAAGTCTTTCACTAAGAAAGCTCTTGATTCTTTCTCTCAGGTACTGAGTGGGGAGGAAGTGGGGAGGAAGAGGACATAGCGTGCACCATGAACTACAAAGAACAGCACATTATTGAAAGGAGAAAGTAGAGGCAGAGTAAAAGGTTGTCTAGCAGGTATTGGGCTGGAGTCAAGTGATACGGTTGAGACGCAGATGTAGGTGTTCTAGCTTTACTTGCTCTCACTCTTGTCCTCAGCCCAGTTCTTGCTACGATCTTTCTCTAGATAATCTCATTATTTAACTAGTACCTCAAATGACCACTGTCAAATATATATTTTGAATTCTGATCTTTCTACTGAGTTCATCCACCCTAATTGGGTGCCCAATTACCCCCAAATTCAACAGGCCATCGATCTTCTATTCAAATCTGCTAATTATCTTATATTCCTCATCTTAATTAACCTCAACATATCTGATTCCTATGCACTGCTGCCTGTACATGTCTGTATAATCTCTTCCCCTTGAGTTTGGGCAGGACCTATGAATGTGATAGGGTACCACTCCCATGATTAGGTTCTAGTGTGCGGCAAAGGGGAGGGGAACTCAGATACAATTAAGATGCCAAAGCAGTTGATTTTGAGTTAACCAGAAGGAGATTATCCTGAGTGAGCTAGATAATCAGGTGAAAAACCTTTAAAGAGTGACTGGGCCCTTTGTATGGAGAAAGACTCTCCTGATAGCCTTGAAAAGGCAAAGAGCCATACTATGAAGTGTCTGTGAAGTGGCCACACAGCTGGGGACGGAGAGCAGCTTCTAGAATCTGAGGGCAGTCCCTGCGTGTCAGCCAGCAAGAACACAGGGGTCTGAACCCCACAGGGGCATAGAGACAAAGTCTTCCAACGGTTCCAAGAGAGTTAGGAAGGGGAGCTGTCCCCGTCAAGGCTCTGCTGAGACCTCAGCCTTGGCCCACACAAGGACTGTAGCCTGGTGAGACCCTTAAGCAGAGAATCCAGAGAAGGTACACCTGTACTTCTGACCATTGGGAACTGAGATGATAAATGTTTTAAGCTAAGTTTGTGATATAGCAACTGAAAACTAAGATTATCCAAAATAAAAAAATCTCACTGTCCTCTCAGACCTTCCTTCATTATTTTAAACATTTATTAAAAGGTGTAATAAGTTCTTATGTTAAAATGTCACAAATATGTCTCCTATTCCACAATTCTTTTGTCAGCCCCTGGTTCAGGATCTGCACTGTTCTGGTGGAATACTGCAATCGTCTCTTCACTAGTCTCGCTTTTCCCTAACCTTTCTCCTTTAATATGGATCAGTCACTCTGAGGGAAAAGTTCCTCTTCTAAAGGTAAATCAACTAAAATAAAACATACATTTAAAAAATAATTTAAAAAAGAAAGATACAAATGCATGATTTAGGCTTCTTCTTTTAAAACCTTTGTTGATTCTCCATTTCCTTGAAAATAAAGTGCCAATTACTTTGCCAGAACTGTAAGATCTTAAACAAGAGGCTCTAAACGAGGACTTTGAACTTGACTGTAAAATGTAGTCCCATTGCCCAGGACACACCACAGGCCAACTTGACCAGAATCTCAGAGATGGATCTAGGCACTGGTTGTTTTCAAAGGTCCCGGGAGGTCTAATGTCAGTTAAGGCTGAGACCACAACTCTAAGTTGTTTTGCTTCTGCCCTTCCCTCTCGTCTGTCTTGAAACCTGTCCACGTAGGCTACTCTATCTTCTCCAATACTAGTTATGCCTTTCCTCATGAAAATCTACTCTCTCTCTAGCCAGTGTAGCATTCCTGGTTCATTTTTATTTTCATCTATATTTGCATATTGAAGGATTTTAATTAGAGAGCCTCCAATACACTGCTTTGTTTTATTTTTTTCTCCTGATAAGACATAAACCCAGAGGATCTCTATGCCAGTCAAGGTCATAAATTCAATAAGTATAAAATAGTTTTGAAATTCAACAGGACTAAGCAACAGTGACACTTATTTTTCAGGGAAGTTATATCCATGCTAGAGTATACCCCAAAGGAAAGCCCTGAGTGAAAACCATTAATAATTGCATATTCTTATGCCTATCTCATAATTGAAGGGATTAGTTTTACCCACAGACTTAATACTTAACAATTTTTGGCAACAGAATATGATCAGATGTGGCTAAATACAAGGCTAACCTCCCAAATGAGAATTCAAATTCCGATGGAAACTACACTAATGTTTTAAAACTCATTTGCATAAAATATATCACAAAATAGTTTCTCGAGCAACATTCATAAATCTAAATCCAATTGCTATGAAAGAAGCATTTTTTGTTTTTTTTTTGTTTTTTTTTTACCAAAACAATTTTACACTACAATTCATGTGCAGAATATACTGTTTGGATCATGATATTATTATTTTGTTTTTAAAATTGTTTCCTTTATTTATCTTAGAGAGAAAAGTGAGGGGGGGAGAGGGAGAGAGAGAGAGATAGATACATCGATGAGAGAGAACACTGATTGGCTGCCTCCTGCATGCCCTCCACTGGGGATCAGTCCCACAACCTAGGCATGTATCCTGAGCAGGGATCAAACCGGCAACCTCTTGGTGCATGGGTTGATGCTCAATCACTGAACAACACCAGCTGAACAAACCATCACATTATTTATCCTGGGGGTATTTTCATGTCCTATTTTACTTATCTGTTTGCATATAAAGTTAGGTATAAAGTGTTTATTACAGATCTATAGACTACACACCCAACATTGTGATTTTGTAAACCATATACATAGTAGGTACTCAGAAAGTATATGTTTTAATTTATTTATTTAAACTACATAGTGTTTCACCTACGTCCATTATACTAACCTTAAGAGCTATATTTGGGGGGTAGCAATGTAGATTGAAAAGTCATTCCAGGTCTTTCAGCCTGAATGGGTAAGTCATTCAATAAACTCCTCCATAAATAAGATACTAATCATAGATCTTAGTTCATCTTTATTCATAATGAAACAGATATTTTTGCCTGGCATATGTGGCTCAGTGGTTGAGCATTGACCCATGTTCTATGTATAAGACAGTCTTACTGATAAAACTACTTCCCAGATATTACCAGCTGTGCATATTTTTTCTTCCATTATTCAAGTACTAACACATTTTTCCCTTTATAAGAACTTGTTTCCAAGGATTAGAAAGAAGAAATTACTGATGATATTCATAGCCTGAGGAAATAACCTAGATTAATTTACTTAACTTTTCCTACTGTGTAAAGTAATGGCAAACATCCTACTAGACAGTACATGTTTTATTTACCGGCACTTTGCTAGAATAATAAAAACACTACCAAAAATAAGACAGGGAAACAATGAGGAAAAGGCTGAGTGTCTCCTCCCCACTTCAAAGTAAAGATCTTGGAGAAACTTGTGAGTTAAAATAATATAATGTTTTCATTTATCAATATTTGAAGAGTTACTGCTTTAATTTATATACTTTAATACTACTATTTATCTAGTAATTATCTTACCAAAAAGCATCTGATGACTCACATCGGAGTAGTTTAAAGTACACCTATTTTGTAGAAGAGGTGGGAATATGGGGGTAGATGTTTTTGACATGGTTACAAGAAAGATAATTTGAGAAATTAGATCAATACTTTGCCATTGGATTCCAGGGAAAACTGACAGTATTGGACATTTATTTATTATCTCAACCCATCTAGTGTGTGGAAATGTAGCTCACCCTCAGTAAGGTTGCCAGCCTGCTTTTGTGAACTTATGCTTTGGCCCAAGAACACTGCCCACGAGTAGCAGTTACGTTCCTTCAAAGATGGTTCTAACTTTGGTTAGGCCTCAGTGAAGCCTGACAGGAGAGAGCTGGGAAGCACCTAAATTATCTCCTCCTATTTAAATTCTGACTTATTAAAATAAATATTTTGCAAATACAATTTACTAGTAGTAAAATAGTTTTTACTGCATATATGAAACCTCCTCAGCAGAGACTCTCCAAGGCTGAGCATTATAAAGTAACAGTTATGGTACTGCAAATAAAGTGTCTTATTGGGACCCAAAACCTAATCAGATACCTAAAATATTGCTGATTTAGAAGTTTCATAAAATTCAAATAGTTGTATTGACAAAAAAAAAAAAAATTGCCTGGATTCCTTAAAACCCAAACATATCCCAAAGAATAAGTATTTATTAAATTTTATTACACTGACCAGAAAGAAGACATCTAAGTGTAAACCACTTTCCTTAATAATCAAACAAGTAATGTATTGGTGCAGTTTATTTTAGATGTAGATTCAAGGTCGACTGGGTTAAAAGATTAGTTTTATAGAATGGTCAGAAATAGAAAGGGAACTCAAACCCAGACTTCATTGTGATACCCAGCTCATTATCAAGTAGGAAAAAATCATTATTATGGCCTCAGAATGTTCTCTTTGGTGCTGGAGAAGTTTAAAAAAATAAATCAAGCCCTGCTCTTAAAGAATTCCATATTTCAGAAGAGATCAGCCATTTTAAAAAATATATGTTTTGATTGATTTTAGAGAGAACAGAAAGGAGAGTAAGAGAGAGAGATAGAAACAGCAATGATATACTAAGTGGTTTCTATCATTACTGC